AATTATATAAAGGTTGCCGCTGAGAATGACAAACTGAAAAGTATAGACGTTTGCACCCTGTGCAACCCAGTTTCTCCAACATATTAACTAGATTATGTAGTGTGAAGAGTGTTGGTTCAAGTGGATTCAAAAAAACTCGTACTTTTGCATTGTGCAAAAGCTTTGAATTTGCTTAGTATTCTCAAGCACGTTTTATTGCAGGTGGTTGAGCTGCGTAAGCCTTTTTATAAATAGTATAAAACCTGATTTTAATGAAGATTTTCCATAAAATCATATTAATATATATTATACATAGTTGCTACAAGAAATCCTTATTCGAATTGACATTAGTTTTTGCAATTAATAATGAAGTATGGTTGACAGGAATATCGGCAAGCGTCACGTCACTATCATGAAATACCAAAATATATTAATTCAGCAGTGTTTTTAATACGCCCTACGATTATTTATCTACCGACCCCTCGTTTCTTAGCTCTCGTCAGAGCTTTTACTTTTCTCTGACCTTTTAAGTAACTCTTACCGTTGTAAGACCTGCCCCTCCAATCAACCAACTTCACATAAACATGATTTTTATAGTCTTTTATCTAACATATCCGTCATTAAGCGGGCAATTATACTGTTGGTACAAGCCAGTATGTAAAAAGTAAGGTACCCATTTAGATGTAGCAGACGGATATATAAATCGCTAAAGTTGATAGTAGTTGTTATCTTCGTGATAGCTGTACAATTGCATCAATCCTGTACCGTCTAGGTATGTAGAGCCATTATTCATTCCGTCAACTCGAAAAGAACGTAAGATTGTCAAGATATTCGTACACTATATAATCATATGCCCAAATGCTTGTAAGTAATAAGAAATAAGAAGAAATAGTAAAAAGATAATGAACATAATAATACGTGCAAGAATGGGATGACATGGAATCGAAATTTAAATAAAAAACAGAAACTTATGTTGCATTATCCTGCTGTGTAATACGCCTTGGTTCAGTACATGCAATCGCACAACTTTAATATTTCTACTTCTGGTGTTTGTACAATTATAAATTATAGGAATAGTAAAAGTCAAACCTGTTAGTCCGAAGTGCAACCGTTTAACCATATGAAGCGAGGAAAATGAGAATGCACTATACCGTCTTTTCCATAGCGTCCTCTTATTAGAACCCAAAGAATAAAAGATCTTTCTAGTATTAAAGTACCAATAAGTTGTCTTCAATTACAGCATTATCTGACACCTGTGGGCCATTGCTTCGATGTTCATCTTTTACTTACATTCAATTTTAGCAGATGTATCAGACGTACAAACGTGAAACTTTAACCTACGATTACACAAATAAGCTCAAATTGGTCGGACGGCTCAATAATGTCTTTGTCCTATCGTATGAATAATCAGTTCCTTATGGGTTTACTTCGAATCAAGCTGCATTTCGAAACGTTACCATTATTACATTCGAAGAAATTGTAATAGTAATGGAGTCGAAACTACATTATAAAATGACACCATGTTTCGTCCTTCCCAATATGCAATGACGCTATAATTAGTAAACAACTATAGTGGTATGAAATAAAATTAAGGTTTTGGCTCTTACAGTAATTTCTTCATATTAGAAGATTTGAGTAGGCATGAGATTTGCATTTATCGCATCTTCAGGATTCTTGTCATGAACTGGATATCGCATTCATCAAGGACTTAAACACCATCACCCAATGTCTGGTCATGATGAAGAGATGAGCAAGAAATTCTTGCCTTATTAGCAGACTGCATAGGTTATTTGGACTTTAACTGAGGAATAGGTAAAGCGGTATTTCATCCGATCTGAATGTTGAAGATTATTTATTGGGTTGTAACAGACTACCAGTCATCACATACAACTATTAGTAGTGATGAAACGCTTAATAAGTTAGATGCACTCAAACAGACTATTTGTCAACTTTAAAATTATGTGAATAATCAAGAGATGTTAATACTGTTAAAAATGTGGTAGGTTAACGTAAATCGCAAAGTATGCGGAACAACGAATAGGGAGACTAACGTATACAATACGAGTACAATAAATCTTTTGAATAAAAAATGTATGCAATAAACCAACTGTTAAAAGACCAGCACAAACCCAGAGTCTCTACAATGCACACAAAAGTTACTAGCTGTCTTCTTCTATTAACAGATACAAAGACAATATACAACAATTATAAATATCAGTAATTGTAACGTATTGTATCTGCCAAGGACCAAAAAATTATGACAAAATAATCGGTTACTGCCCACGCGAGTTGGGTAATCGAGCCAGAAAAAAAAAATTCTTATGATCAAGATATGTGGAATACTTTGCGCAGTGTAACAAGCCGGAATTTCGGAAACAGCATACGTTAGCTGTCATTCACTGTTCAACGTTTTATTGGATACATACATACCATGTGTAGTCAGCGTTATTCGCACATAGCATTCATGAGACCTCCAACGATTGTTAACATTTGTTATACAACGATACTAATATTCCATATTAAATTTATTAAAGGGGGGAGAAAGTTAAACCAATTATTAATATAAGTTAGCAAATAATAATTGTAATAATCATGTATTTTTTTAGACACTTTCATTGTCTTGATTATTGTGCTTGCCAAGCATTGTCCTCTGAGCAATGGACCAATATTATTGTAATGATAGCTCAATGGCATTAATCTTGAAAAAAAAAAACCGGTTTGATCTTTCATTGTGTTAAAGTGTCTGCTTCTTTATTATCGACAACTCCGAATTTCCGATAACAACGTCAGAACTTCTGGTAGAAAATGCTGAAACTTTTTGTTCAAACTAAATATAGCGTCGTGGTATAGAGATTATAAGTAGGGTTGGTATACGGATCATTGTTTGTTTTTTTTTTCCCATCGATCCAATAAAGTATGCCCGTGGTGTTATGTTCATTTGACATCATATCAAATTATTATGTACGCACAAAGATTACCTTACGGCCGAAGCTCGGCCGAGTGGACATATAATGCAATCGATCGACTAGAATAGTTTGTATACGAGACAATATATGACAGAGTAATCTACTTACATTGTAATAAGCATTTATGCAATGTTGATCATTTCGAAACAAACTATAATTGAAATTAAATGGCAGCAAGTGAACACACAATATGACGTCATTCTAATGCTCTACTAAACTCTCACATGATTCGAAATCCACATCCGGCGGGTAAGTTCAAATGAAAAAATTATTATTATTGTTATTCGATTGTCCGGTTGTCAGCATTATCTAGCGTAATGCGGAGAACTTGCTTCTTCAAATTCTACGCTTCTATTGTCTGTATTCCAAAGCGGTTCTTATGATAATCGGGAATTTACCTGCCATGTCGCACAACCTGCCAGGTCGTGCAAGCTCAAATATCATCCTTTCATTGAACACTCAGATGGCTTCTCCTCCATAAATAGAAATATTATGGACTGTACGACGTGTCAGGTTGTGCGACCTGGCAGGTAAATGTTCTTATGCTATCAGTTGTGTGACGTGTGCGTAATTCCCTAACCGAAAGGTCATTTGACAGCAGCAAGTTGCTGTTATTTATAGCTTTCTTGTGCATAAAGATCCGTTGTCAGAGAGATTGATTCAGCGGTTCTATTCAATGTTCTTCTTGGCTTTTATCATTTTATCACATGATATGCAAGGGGATGCAGATTCGACTACCAATGGCATAGGCTTTCCATTTTCCCGCACGTCAAAAAAGACCCACACCCAAGCTTTTCTTTTTATTTTCTTCCTCCCCCTCCCTCTTTTTTTTGTTATACAGATTCTCTGCCGTTGTAAATAGCTCTTGATATAAACATTGCATTGGAATCCTGATCCGTTGACATTCCGGACAATTGTTTATTATTTGTTTCATTCTTCGCTTAGGAATGTCTTTTTTTGACCAAACGATTTAGAACAGAGCAATATGTAAAAGGGAAGAGGGACAAAAAGGTAAGGCCCAACACAATCACACCACATAACAAATTCGATTACCCGATATTATTCAAATATTCGGCTGTCCAGCTTATTCGGTCATTTAACTATTTAGCTATTCAATTATTCGGTATTCGGTTAATCTATAAAGTGATAGTTTATGAATGTTCAATTGCTTAGTATCGCTATCCGGTTAGTGGTAGGTTGACCTAAATCATACTCTTTTGTTACACATTAGTAATCCTCTATTCAAACTAATATTAATTCGGCAATGGCTTAATACTAATCCGATCCAACATGGTTATAATTAGAATTGATGAAAATGTGATTATCAGGGAATTTAATTTAATTAATTTGACGTATATTTTTATTAATATTAATACATTTCACTATCCATTGACAGCATTATGCACGCACTAATGTATCAACACTAGTCGTTTTTAGTGCCGGAAGATATGCGGAATAAAATAGACCGACAATTATCTGTCAGCGATTGATAGTATTGACTGTTGCCTAATGTAACTCCTTCGATCGTGCTAAAGTGTCGATCTACAGGGCCATGCAGATCGAATTACCAAATTTGGAATGCTCTCCTACGACTTTTCTAAAATGTTCAATTTCAGATTAGACATTGTAAATCTTGCGGGGGCTCCTCCGAGGTTAATTTTTTAGCCGAACCGCATGACTTGTGTCACACATCAAGCTTGAATTGTTATTGCTCTTAAGCAATATGCGATAATGATGAAACAAACCTTGATATAGCAAGTTATCTAGTCTTTGTTCCGACGACAAACGACATAGTAATAGTGAACTATATCTGATATACTCCGATGAAATGCTCTGTGTGATTGTTCTTGTGCATATAGATTTACTAAGCCCCGGGATTTTCTTAACATCTGTGTGTGCCGTTACATATGTGTCGGGTATGCAAACGCCGCATATCGGTACTACTTGGCTGCGGAGAATTATTTTTTATAAAGAGTGCGGGAGTGCCATCAACGGTTATCATTGCAAATAATTTGCTGATACTAAACAAATAATAAACTCTTCGAACCGACAAGAATGGACACAACGCTACATCAATGCCTCGTTGCTGTAAAGCATTTTTATCGTACAGCCTTATTAGACTATAAATTCTCATTCGGACAATTAGTATTCTATTTAGCTAGTGCATTGGTTGCAAAGATAATCTATGACATTGTGTATAATTGTTACATTAGCCCACTCAGTGTCATCCCTGGACCCAGATTATGTGCAATTAGCAGATTACCGACTCTCCGACGACGACCGAAAGGGAATGTGTTTAAATGGTTTTCTTCCCTGAGCAAACAATACGGGCCGGTTGTACGTACTGCCCCGAATATGGTTTTATTTACGGACAAAGACGACATTAAACAGATCCTCGTATCCGATGTATGTATGAGAGAGAATGTAGCTGGAATTTTAATTTTCAACAAATTGCATGTAATATATATATATAACTTATCCAAATATCTTAACAGGATCTCCCAAAAAGCGCTACGATTGCCGGAATAAGACCTGATACAGCATTCCAAACCCTCTTTACTGCAGATGACAAGATATTCCACAAAGGCAGAAGACGATTATTATCTCCGGCATTCTCTAGCAAATACGTCTCTTCGCTCGAGCCTCTCATGCATTCATGCGTCCAAGCTCTCTTGCAAAAGATACACGATACAATCATCAGCAACGGCTCTGAGAAACCGGCACGGATAAACATCTATCAATGGGTGCAAGCAACCGCCATTGATGTGATTGGCGAAACCGCATTCGGAGGATCGTTCAACATATTGGAAAATGGGGATCATCCGTTACCAAAAAAGATCTTTGAGGAACTTCGAAATCGTATAATCCGTGCAACGTTTCCTTTCCTAAGACCTTTCTTACCACAAGACCCCTACACGGAAGAAGTAAGTATGAAGCACATAGCAGAGCAAACCAACAGTCTGTTTATTGCGCGCACACACATCCTTAACAACATTTTCTTTTACTCGCCAATATCAACAGTTTATCACCAATATAATTCGAGAACGAATTGCTCTAAATGCAAAAGGAGAACGACCCCATGACATTCTTCAAATGCTCATTGATGCTAGAGACGAAAAGACTGGAAAAGGCTTGACCGAATTCGAAATGTACGATCAAGTCATGGAATTTGTAATCGCCGGAAGCGACACTAGTTCGTTCACAGCCAGCATGTCTTTGGCATTTCTTCTTCACAGGCCACAGACGCTACGATCGTTGGTTGCAGAGTTGGAGGAGGCGTTTCCAGACGTCCGCACCAAGGATCCGTCAAAGCTATTTGTACCCAATCACGAAGGTCTTAAAAATCTCAAACTTCTTAATGCAGTAATCAACGAAACCATGCGCAGATTCCCGGTTGCTCTCAGTGGGCTTATCAGGCAGACCACAGTTGATACGATGATTGGCGGATATTTGATTCCCAAAGGTACTGCCGTTAACGCATACTTTAATCAAGTTCAAAATTCTAAAGAACACTGGGGACCTGATGCTGAGGAATGGGTACCGGAACGATGGCTCGATTCCAACAATGTGCCGCGTAATGGTTTCTACGGATTTGGTGCTGGATCGCGCATATGTATCGGTCAACATTTTGCATGGACTGAAATGAGAATGATATTGGCTTCTTTGCTGCTGAACTTTGACTTTACCTTAATACCGAATCAGAATTTGGACCTGGTGCACTTTATCACTCCCTCTTTAAAGACGAAAAAGTTTGATGTCGATGTCTGCTTACGATGAAATATTAGTATGGGAATGTATGGACTTTAGCTAATAACTGATATGTGTAAATAATATACTCTGAATTTGTTTCTAGAAGTCACAATGGTAGTAGTTCAGCATCTCACCGGAGGGATGGGTTGTGTTTGTCGGACGGACGATATATAAGAATATTATTTACGAAGGATGTATTTATAATTATTTGACATCGTTAATACGTGAGATTGCGGGCTCTTCTACAATTGTACATATTAATATTTAACCAGCACAATTATTCTCGCTATTATTTAAATAAACTTTATTTTTTTGTACGTCTTCATTTTGTGTTTTTTCGTCTAATCAATATTTCGTAACCAATTCGTAACAGTGGTTAATCGGCCTTGTCCATTTCAATTTGTTAAACCAAAGGGTGGGTTGGTTCTAGATCTCGGCGACTTGATTCTGCTGAAGTAAATATATATTTGCCTTTGGTAAAGATGAAACGTCTCCACAGAATACTGACTAGTTTAAAATAAAAAGGTACACATCCTACAGACGTTTGATACGCTCGACTATTGTGAGAATAATTAGGGTTGCTTGATAGAGTGCCTTTCTAATTTACTAGTCGATTGATTTTTTCTTTTAAAAGTTGGTGTGATTAATGACCGGATCTGATAGAACCGATCGTGACTATAACACCATCATCGTAGTTGAACCGACCGAGCGTGGCTTCGAGTGCGAGCGAATGCTGGATGCCCATGATATTGAACCTCCCTGAGAAAAAGTCGTATAACGGTTGCCACCGCTATGGAGATTTCCTTGTAGGGAAACATAATCGTTTTTATACCTATTTCTTTGCAATTGCCTCTGACTATCAGAGACCAGGATTCACCTATTTGCAAGTGGATTAATAACAAATTAATAAATCTTGGAATTATATCTGCAGTTCGCCATCGAGGAAAAGCAGATGTTCAATACTAAAATCAAACGATACTCACTTAAATGTCCCAGGTGTCTGTGTATTTGTCTTTATTGTATATCAATTTTCAGAAAATATTCTTGAATATCCACCAACGGTTGTATTTTATACCAATGAATTAGCTTATATTTCTTTCTCCTCAGCACTCATACTATTTATATTGTCAAATGCTGTTGTTACTATGACCATATTCACTAACGCCGAAGGAATTATCAAAAGCGGGAAAATCCTGCCGGTGGATTCTTTTACACGTCGCCACCACTAGTCGCTCTAGCAGCTAAGCCTTTTGCGAGTAGACTAACCTTGGCTTGTGTCTTTCTTCCCTCGGATTTTTAACATATCTTATAATGCAGTCCATTTTCATAGAGGCGTTCAGCCATAATCCAGCGGATGGTAGCCTCGCACCATTGTCCTTTCGGGCAGGTGCAATCACCAATATCCGAATCAACGGTTCCTCTCGTACCAAATTGAATGCCCGAGATTTTGTTCTCAGTAGTCAACGCTCATTCAGAATTATGATGGTGTGGCTGGGTGTCCGTCCGCGCAAGAATATCACAGTCGATGTTATTCAAACCCATTCGGAGGGCAAGACTATGAGTTGTGACGATGTATACACATGTCAATTGAATGTCCCAATTTGCTAATATTGAAAGAAGAAGATTGGGTATCACAGATGGCTTCTTTAATTACCAACTCTTTAAGCTCGCCAAGGATTTTATGACTGAGAGTTTGTTTACTACACATGGCCTTCTGTATGTGCTGTCCGAAGACGGGTTTGCACCTTGTTCGGAAAGTTTCATCAGCGTATACACACTGCGCCGCATACGCGCGGCCTTCGCACATTATTTGTTAAATGGTGCCCTCAAACGGATATGCTTTCTGAACGAAGGCGCAATATGCGTTCAAAGATTCGATGGTTCACAAAGTTCTGCAATTCACACTACTTATCGCATTTCGCTGCGTTCTTTATAGATTTTCTATTAGAGACATTTTATATTTATTAGAACGCGAGTTAGCAGATGAATTATTATTTGATCTATTCATAATACATCTAAATAAATACCTGAATATCGAAAGAATTCTTAAACGACGTAATTTCCTTGACTTGCATTAAAATACTGTGTATAAACGCAAGTCGCAATATTGGAATGTCTTTGCATAGTCAATTGTCGGGTCCCAGTCCTTGTAATCCCAGCGTCCACCAGGTCCAAAAATATTAAAAAGAAACGGCCTTACAGCAGCAGCAAGTCAAAAGTATGATTGCTGCCGAACGAGAAAGTGTAAAACTTGAGATTATTACAATGTCTTTTCGCCAGTAATAGATTGCATGTTGCGGAAAGAATAGGAAACAGGAGCTGGGACGGGAGTTTGTAATATAGCATATGGTAAAAGGACGTTCATAATAGCATAAGTATGGGAATGTCGATAGTTTGATGGAAAGTTTATTTCAGTGGTATTAGATAATATGTTGAGAGTAAAGATCCTTTGCAACACAATGGGCGAAGGGATGAGAGGGGGGGGGGGGGGGGAAGTACCATGCCGCCGAAGAATAAATGATGAGGGAAAGTACCCTGAACCGGCAAAGTGTTCCATTTTAGTCGCTTCCGTTTTCTCAAAAGTCGTAGTAATTATGATTAAGTGAGGGGAATTAACATGATTATCATGAGTATAGTATTAACCATAGTTCCAATACTGATAATTAAAATGTAATAGTAATATGTCACTATTAATTTCTTTCTTTCTTTCTCTCTTTCCCTCATGCTAATTCCGTCTCATTATCAAGTCTTTTCTCAGATGTTTTCCTCAAGTCGTCAGAGCCAGTCGTCACCTCAAACTTTGCCTTTTCATAGACACGTTTCTCCGGTACGATGTTCAGCATTAGAACCTCCACTATTATAGTCGCCACTTTGAAAAGAGCAAAAGCAGCAACAATGTTGGTGAGCAACGAAATGAAACTGAATTCACCGATTTCCCCATGCTGCTGGAATACCAATCGAATGCCATGTCTCTCTTTTAATATATACGACCCATCTGATTGATACAGACTCTCGACTGCCTTGTATTCATTTCCATCTATGACTCGAGGAAGATACACGTATGCAAATTTATCCTTTTTGAATTGGACGTTTCTGTATTCAATCACAATGACAATGACGATACCCGAAGATCTATATGTTTCTCCATTGGTACTGTTGGCACCCGGTGCAGTCGACGGAGCGTCTAAATCTGCTCCAGCAGCTGTTAGTAAATCGGATACTTTAATAATATCTCCATCTGCGTACGGGTTTTCGTCCATTCTTGTCGCGTTTGTCCATGACTTGACAACCGTCTTTCCATCCGAGGCCATGAGTTCACCGTCCATTAAGCCATTGCGAACTGCAATAGTTGTTGCTTTGCCGCGAATAGAATGTTCGATCATTAGTGTGTAGTCTTCAATGTCGCCAATGTATGATTGGTTGGAAATGATTTGGAAAGGCGTCGTTTTTTCATTAAAAATACAGCGGTCGGATGGTGTGGATGGCGTTAGAAAATTACAGCCAGGAGGGGGCGTGTAACGGCGAACTACTGCGCGGGTTGTTAAAAAGGCTACGCCTGCATTATCCGACGGAAATTGAACTGCAAGATGGTTATGAGGAGACCGATTAGATAAAACGCAGAATTGTACAGTCAAATGTATGTATCTAATCAATATACCGGACTATGCACTTGGAATCTGGACATTCCTCATGCTAACATGCGACGTCTCTACTTACTCTCATTTGCTCCCCAGAACACACATGGAAGAGGATTGTTGCAGTATTGGGGAGCTGACAATGTCTGTGGCGCCTGAAGCGAGATTCTGACCGCGCCGTTAACGGGTGGTTCCTAAGAATGGTCGAAAGTCAGCATTTCGTTGTATAACGTAACACACTGCCCTAAAGTGTACCTTGTGTAAATATCCTTCGTTAACAAGCACCGAATATATAATATATGCAAAAATTGCCAGTTGGAATGAACGGTACAGACACCCAAGTCTTCGGCTAGATAAATAACGAAGCAATGATGTGATCTCCTTGAGCTGAAAGCAACAGCGATTAATAAAATAAAATGACAGCATTACTGCAGCAACACTCACTCTTTGACTTTTACCATTTTGAACGTCTCGTACCTAATCAACACAATGGATCAGTACCAATAATTCAGATCAACAAATCTCATCCCCCTCTGCTACATACTGCAATAAACTTGTCCAGTTTGTCTTCATGGTTAATAGGGTCAAGATTCAGATGGAATCGTCTACGTACAAGTTATGGGATAAATAACATGGGATGATCTACATGTTACTATTAATGACAGAATATGACTAATAATGTCTCTATGCACGTGTGTGCCTTCACTCATTTCGTAAACTCCATTGTTTTCAATTTGCAGTCACCACCCCCTACAGTAGGAACTTGGAAGTATCTGACAGGTATGCACAAGCAAACTTAATGGTTTTGGTTAATATTACAACCGTCAAAGTAAATGTGCGACGTACCACAATAAGGCAGGGAAGCAATTAGTGTAACAATTTTTTAATTACTATTGGTTGAGTGGCTATTGCGACAACTCTCTGCAATAAAGTGTTGAAATATTCTCTCACTTGAAAAGTTTTTGTTCAAACCATGTCAGCAATTGACAACTTGATTCGAGCCTCCTTAAAAAATAAACTTGAATGGATTCCTTACGAGGAAATCACAGAAATTAATTCAAGTCAAGTTGACAACGTCTATTGCGCCATTCGTAAACATAAACGGTATGATAAAGTGGAGGAAACGATGATAATGCTGCTATGCCTTGGAAGCAGCAAAGAATGTACATCAACACTAGTGAGTGAGTTTGCCAAAATATACTCACTTCCAACAGACAAGTACAATAATAATGACAGTCAGTTCAGAAGATATGAAAAATGGCTTGAATATCGCAACAGATTGATAGAAGGGTTTACCAAGCATGATGATAATTACTACATGGTTGCTGATAGAAAGTTTTACTCTTATTATTCTCGATATGGATTCTGCTCCGCATGTGGAATACTTCGATGTAGTCCTGTGTGGTGCATTTGTGGACATAAACAATTATCCAATGAATGGACTAGCAACAATAATAAAATCGATGAGTTTATCAAGAAATCTCAATTACAAACAAACACGGCAAATCAAGCCTATTTGGAATGGATTCCATCTGATTGTATTGATGGTTGGGGACATAAATATGGTGTATACTTGCGTGGTCTATTTATTGGTGACCGTGATGCAACTGTTACATTGATTCCACTTGAAATAACGGATGAGACGGATGATTTATATTATGACAAGGTAACTATAAAGTATGAATATATTCTGTTATTAAGTTGTTTAGACAAATATTGACTTTATATAATTCCCCTAGTTATGTGATGAGCATTCAGATATTCTTACCGCAAATGTTTGGATTACCATTGGATTCACATACGATACGCGTGAACGAAAGTATAATCTAATAAAAAATTTTATAGACCGTAAAATATGTCTGGCGTGCACAAAGCAATTAGAACCTGAGATAAATGCATTCTGTTATGAATGTAAAACACCAGCACCTCCTTACTGGACTACAGGCAACAAGTTTTTGGATTCATTCATTATGGAGTCGTGGAGTAATGTGAAGAATAAGTATGATGCTCATATACAATGGATAGAGTATTCTCTATTGACAGACATACAGCAGATAACCTCATTACGCCATGGATGCACACATATAGCGAAATGGTTAGATCCAGTAATGAATAAATATAAACGGACAACAAATAAATTGACACAAGTGACGCTCAAGCAAATAGTAATAGGTGATAGTCGGTCACTTAATTTTCACCAGGTAAATTATTTCACGTGTAAAATAATGCAAATATGCATTACATTGATTGTTGTAATGATTATATTGCTTGCTCAAATAGCTAACTCAGGAATACCCGGAAATATTAACCCCCGAGAATATTTGGATAATCGGAATTACTCAAGAGCCATCTACTCAAGCGTATTACTTGGTTTTCTACCATGAAATACATGCAATACTGGACAAATATACGGAGACTAACGAACATGTACGGTATATGCAATATGCCGACTTTTATGAAATTAAAGAGATCGGATCTGGTGGTTATGGAACAGTCTATACTGCCAAATATAATGGCTATTTGGGCTATTTATATCGCAATCCAAAAACTGTTGTACTAAAACGCTTTAAGAATTTTGATGAAATGCCAGAAGTATTTATTTCCGAGGTAAGCGACCGCTTATATAATTAATTAGGTGATATTTGGTGTGACTCTGTATTTGTTATATTTATTATATTTATTTATAGTTCAGAAATCATGCCAAGTGTTTGAGTAAGGAGTATCTTTATTTCCTTAAAATTTATGGAGTGACACAAGAGCCAGAAACAAAAGAGTACATGATTGTTATGCAATATGCTAACAATGGTAGTCTTTTGTCTTATTTGCATCAAAACATTAACAAATTGACATGGCACATGAAATTACACCGTTTGTATACTATTGCATATTATTTGGATAATATCCATGGTAAAGGATTGGTACATTGTGATCTTCATGGCGGAAACATTGTTTTGCATGATGACAGCGAAACGTATACTCATGCACTCATATGCGATCTTGGTCTTTCTCAATCGGTGAATTCACGCGAGTCACATTCAACCATTCGAGGCGTTTTACCCTTTATTGCACCAGAAGTCTATCATACTTGCAAATTTACAAAGAAATCAGACATATATTCTTTTGGTATTATTATGTATTTAATTGCCACCGGTGAACCACCTTTTCGAGATAGAGAATTCGACGAACGTTTAATATGCGATGTTATGGGCGGACTACGACCAACAATGCCTGACTCAGCACCAGAAGAATACAAAAAACTTGCCGAGCAGTGTTGTGATGCTGACCCTGATAAGCGTCCAGATGCATATACAGTTTGGAATGATATTTTCAAGCTTATTAAAGAGGCGGAAAAACGTAGTTCTGTTGCCAAGGTGTGGAATGCCGTTTATCATAATAACGTAAAACCCTTATCGCGTCTCGAGAAGGAGAGTAAATACTCTAGTAAGCTCTTACCTACAGGAGATTTACCTAAACCGAGAAATTTGCACTCGGCTGCAGGTAAGGCAACAACTGATTACGTGTTGGTAAATAAAGTCAAGTACAATATTAACATCGTTTACTGCTTATGATTTAGCGACTCAAACATTTACGGTTTCCAGTTTATCCAAGTTTATTTCAAGGATTTACTCCTCTTCCAAGTAAATAAATTATGCCAATATCGGTTGACTTAATAAGATACCGAAATAAAATCGCGCGCATTTACTGTTAGCTGGAGTAGATCACATGGGTTTGATGCGGACGATAAAGCTTCACTGTCAATTTTAATACTCTTTCCCAAATAACCCATGTGGTCGACCAATACGGCAAGATTTTCTTATTCAGTTCTTTATCGCGATTGCCTTCATTCGGACATTGGGACGATAGCCATTTTATGACATGAATCCTGAAGATGCAATAAACACAGATTTCATGCCTGCTCAAATATATTTCAGTCCGAATATTCCATGTGTAAGTCTAAAAACCTAAAAGCCTTTAAGTACATTAATCTCTATAGCAATCGACTAAGCTATTTGAAATGGATTTAAATTGGCAAATTTATACGCGAATATTGTAATATGCCACAAGTTCGTATTGTGGAGAGTGGAAACAACAAATTTGGTCTCGCTTGCAGAAAATAAACTTTTATTATCGAGAGTAAAAGGAACGCTTTTCAGACGGTATATAATAGCACAAATCGGAAAAAACACTAATATTTTCATGTACTGGCAATAAATATTGCGAATTAGCGTATGAAGACTTTTTGAATTTGATCGTACATTCGACGACAGTCGTGCGTTGTGCACTATTATGAGTAATGGATCCGCTCAATATTTTTTTACAAAATTTTTATGCGCTAATTATATTATCAAAATTTTACAAAGCAGACATTTACTGATCGTTTGGGTTGGAATTGATACAGCTTTAGAACTAGATAAATAAATTAAATTTTAGCACAGAGTGCACTCGCTTTGATGCGGGTATTCCTTTCTTCCGTTATACAAGAAGCACGCGCACAGCACATTAATTAGACTATAAGAGTAATCGCAGGTATAAAATGATGTATAACATACTATATTCCCTTCTCGAACACTAAAACTAAACAAAAAAAAAAGATATTTATTTCTTTTTTAAAGAAGTACAATGCCAAGTTGTTTTGGATAAAGGAAGGCAAAGCTCTTAAACAGACATGACTGAGAAGCGAGGATTTTTTTAAAAAAAAATCATAACAATAGCTTTTGTTGTATGTAGTGCTTGATTTTTTTTTCAGCTCTTAGAAATGCAAACAAAATTCATGCCTCTAACTTTTTTGGTTCATACAGGAAAATTACAATTTACCATTACTTTGCTACATACACACTCATTAATAGCAATACCTATTATTGGACATTTGCCACAAATACTAACTTAGTCAAAGAAACAGATACCCATTTTCCATCACATTTCTTATAAACTTTGACATCAACTTCCCTTGGAATGCAATTCCTACTTCCACTAGTTGCTCCATATCTACAGATACAATATGACAGTATTGTTTGCATTCTATCTGATCCAAGGCAGAGGCTGCCTGCCTTCAAGAGGTAGTGATTCTTCCTTCTTCTTGACCTTAAAGTTCAAAAGTGCTGCTCTCCTCTTTTCTGGGTGTTCAATGAGAGCATCATTATGGCCAAGGCCTCCCTCTCAATTTGACTTGACATTGCACCTAATATACCTTGCATGGGCAAGCCAGCCCATCAAGTATGCATAATAGAAAGCTTCTGCTCTCTTGCCTAAAGTTGATCCACCAACATCATTGAAAGATAAGTCTTTGATGATTGTTTCATAAAGATGATCATGAAAAGTATCAAGTTCACCATTCAGCAATGCACTCACAATGACATCTAGTTTGGGAGCACCTGAAACCTCTAGCCACTTAAGCCATTGTTTAGCCATCTCCCATATTTGGAATTCGTAGTGTCGTGCCGACTACTGCAGGAGAGCAGAAAGTAATCGACACTTGGGATTTAACTAGTCTCGACGGAGCGTGGCGCCTCCTATTCAAGTTAAATAT